AGGAGAGTTGAGAGGAAGAGGAGAAGAGGAGAGGGGAGAGGGAAGAGGGAAGAGGGGAAAAGGGAAATGGGGAGGAGGAGGAGGAGGGAAGAGGGAGTGTGGGAGAGCGGAAAGGAAAGTGGGGAAGAGAAGGGAGAGGGAAGAAGGGGAATAGGGAGAGGAAAGTGGGAGAGGAGAGAGGGGACAGATGTAGTGGAGCGTCAAAGGTGGGGTAAAGGGGGAGGGGGGAGGGGGCATGGCATCCGAATAAAAGGAGTGAAAAAAGTCTTACGAGAGAGGACGACCTTATGGCTGCCTTGGGGACGGGGGGGGGGGTAGCAGGAAGGAGGAAGGGAAAGGGGAAGGTGGAAATGAGAACGGGGGAGGAGGGGAGGAAGGAAAAGTGGATGGGGGGGAGTAGGGAGGGGGAAGGAAAGAGGGAGGTGATAGAGAAGTAGGTGGAGAAGGAGGTGATAGAGGAAAAGTAAGGGAAGAAGGAGGAGGAATTGGACAAAGAGGAAGAGGAGGATAAGGAGAAGGAGGAGAAAGTCGAGAGATGGAGGAGGAAGAACTAAAGAATTCAAGTAGAAAAGAAGAAGAATGAGGAGGAGGAGGAGAAGACGAAAAGGAGGAGGAACAGCAGGATGAAGTGAGGAGAAATAAGAAAGAGAAATAGAGATCGCATCGAAGGTGAGGAAAACTTCATAGTTCTTGAAGTTCTATTCGTTATTTCATTATTATCATCATTATTATTAATAATATTACTATTATCAATATTAGTATTATTATCATCATCATTATCTATCTTTTAATATTATTATTATTTTTTTTATTATTATAATTATTACCATTATTATCATCATTATTATTATTATCATTATCTATTTATTTATTATTATCTTTTAGCTCTTCTCCCTCAATCAGTCGTTTTGCAAAAAAAAGGATCCGATTAAAAACATAAATAAAAAATGAGAGAGAGAGAGAGAGAGAGAGAGGAGAGAGAGAGAGAGAGAGAGAGAGAGAGAGAGAGAGAGAGAGAGAGAGAGAGAGAGAGAGAGAGAGAGAGGGAGAGAATATGCACCATACTAAATATGAAAGAAGTCATGAATAAAACAAATTCTCTCGCTGCATCCTTATTCCCTGCATCGTAAAATGGCTTCTTTTCTTCTTCTTAAAAAAAGAAAAGAAAAAAGAGAAGAGAAAAGGTATAATTGAGAAAAAGAGAAAAACGAAAAAAAAAGATACTGGAATAAAAAAGACAAAGAAAAAGAGTAAAAATCTCAACACAATAAAATACGGAAAAAACAAAAACACCGAGAGAAAACAACAAAAAATAAACAAAGCTCCCCCCAAAAAACATAAAAACAAACACAAAAAATACACAAAAAAGCAAAGCAAAGCGAAGCGAAAAAAAATCATGATCGAACATACATATTCAAAACGGAAATAAATACGAAAAAAAATCCCAACAAATCAAAATACGGAACAAAAACAAAAACACCGAGAGAAACCAAACAAAAAATAAACAAAGAAAAAAACATAAAAAAATAAACAAACACAAAAAATACACAAAAAAAAAAAGCCAAGCAAAGCAAAGCAAAGCAAATCGAAGCAAAAAAAAAAAAAAAAAAATCATGATTGACATTTCACCAGCGCAATGTGGCCGCCAATCGATAAATCGTATTTGACTTTGGGATACGACCTCTCTCTCTGGTCACTTTGTTTGTTCTTTCGGGTGTGGGCGGGGTGGGCGGGGGTGGGGTGGGGGGAGGGGCGTCGGGTGGTCGTGTCGGCGTGGTCGGATTCGTCTGGTGGGAAGACTTGGCGAGAGGGAGAGGAGAGGGAGGAGAGGAGAGGGAGAGGGAGAGGGAGAGGATGGGTGGGTGGATGGAGGATGGAGAGGCAGAAGGAGAAGGAGGGGGGGGAGGGAGGGAGGGAGAGAGAGAGAGAGAGAGAGAGGAGAGAAGAGAAGAGGTAGAGAGGAGAGAGAGAGGGAGGAGGGAGGAGAGAGAGAGAGAAGAGAGAGAGAGAGAGAGAGAGAGGAGAAGAGAGAGAGAGAGAGAGAGAGAGGAGAGAGAGAGAGAGAGAGAGAGAGAGAGAGAGAGAAACTGATGAAAAAAAAAAAAAAAAAAAAAAACAATAATAATAAATAAATCAATAAATAAATAAAAATAAAAAAATAATAAAATAAAAATAAACAAATACAATAAACAAAAGAAAAAGGAAACTGAAAAAAATATGAATGAATGAGGGTAATCTAAAAACAAAGCAAGATGAAAGAGAACGAATAATGAATGAAAATAGAGCAACGAATAAAACAAATATCACATTAAACCAAATACAATATTACATGAAATAAATAAGAAAATAAATGGAACGACCAATACATTTAAAAACAAAAACAAAACAAAAAAATTAACAAAAAACAAACAAATATAAATGATGAATACAGCAAATACATTAACCAATTAAACATAAACAAAAGCAAATGAAGAAATAGATTCATGACCAAAACAAAAATAAGGAACTAATGAGATACAAAAAATACAACAATGAATAAATTAGGTTCTGAAAAATAAAACAAAATGCTGAGTTAAAAATAAAATAAAAATGAAAACTTAATGAACACTGTATAAAAATAATGACCACTAAACAAATAATTCATAAAAATAAATAAAATAGGATTGTGAGTAGAAATAAAATAAAAACACAATCTTAATCCATTCATACAACAATAACAATAAAAAGCATGTGTAATTAATAAAACTACGAGTGACGTTCAAAATTAATTAAATAATTAACTTAACTTGCGGAATAAACATATTAATGGAGGAAATAAAGCAAATGATATTCCTTTATCCATGCCCTCACGCCCTCGCCGGCTCTCACGCCCACATAACCGAGATGCATCATACAGGTCGTGACATTCTTATGTATGTATACATACGCCGTATGTATAAACATGCATGTATACATACATACATACACACACACACACCACACACACACACACACACACACACACACACACCCACATATTATAATATATATATATATATATATATAATATATATATATATATATATATATTATATATATATATGCATGTATACACATACACACACACATACATATATATATTACATATGTATGCGTCTATACACATGTATATACGTACGCATTGTACACGAAAATAGATACACCCATCATGTATCTATGTATACATGCACGTACTCAAGCACTCGCAAAATGACTCCCGTAATTAGGCTCGACACTGAAGTCACTCATACATGCCACGCCATTAAGACACCGCAACAAAGGCCGACGAAGCACAAAGGGCCACAAAAGACCAAAATAAAATACAAAACCCGAATAAAATGAAAACTCATTATTGAGCATCTTTGACGCTTCGCCCTTTGACCGGACATTCCTGCACTCTGGGCCCAGCAGGAGGGGGGTGAAGGAGGGGGGCGCAGAGGGATCGTAGAGAGAATGGTGTGGGTCGTTGGACGCTTCAGATCACTTTAGATGAGAATGGTGGGGATGGGAGGTGGGAAGAGGGAGGGACGCCGAGGGATAGGTAGAGAGATGATTGGTTGCGGGCAGGGATGAGAGTGGGGAGAGGGACCAATCGTGTGACAGATAATTGACCCGTGCGGCTGTCATGTCAGGAGAGGGGGAGAGGGAGGTAACTCTAAATACTCGTCCGGTAATCAGCCGAGTGGGCGTGGGAGGAAAAAGGGAAGATAAATGAAGATCAAAGAAACGGTGATGAAAGATAAAGGGTGTCATGGAAGAGCCACATGGAGAGGAAAGAGGTACAGCGTGCTGACCTCTTAACATATATATGTGCTACATTTGCGAGTCCCCAGTGCCACCCATCCATACTTTCAATCTCGCTCACCGCTCCCACCCCTCCCCATCTCGCCACCTTGCTACTTGGTTAACAAGACAACACGACATGGCGATCAGGGAAGAAGAATCAGCAAGACAGAAAATTCATCCGCGCTCATGCGAGTTAAAGTGAGCTATATCAAGCTCCATACATGGCAAGTAGGGTTAAGAGAAGCTGTTAATCAGATGGGACAGAGGCATGTCCGCGATAATGTACACTCACGGACTATGCTGTACTACAGTCAGTACGGTCCCTGCACCATTGATCCTGCCCCCTCCTGCACCTACTCTCGACTCTCACTCCTCTCAGCACTCAGTAAAACAAAAAGATAGATATCGCCTTGTGATGCAAGACAACCAGTACACACAGCTCCATAGAAACCACATGATACTAAAGTCAGAAAAATGACAAAACAAGAAAGGAAGAAAACGCACGCAAGGAAGGAAAGAGGGGAAGAGGAAAGACACATGAATTACATCACGTGCCCAGTCCTCATCCTATCCTCCCAAACCCCCGCACTCGATGACAAAAACAAAGTCGTTATGTAACCAGACAAGGAAAGAAAAGATATTATTAGAGAATAGGTGAGGCGTAGAAAGCGAGTGTGAGGACGGAAGGAAGACGGGGCATTCATTATGTTCACGGTCACCCATCCCCCTTCTTCTCATCTCTCATCCACACCCGCTCTACGCCCTCTCAATCCTCTCCGTCCCTGACCTCCCTCCATCTCACTCGCCAGTCGATCCAGACCATCTTCAGCTTGCCTACCGAACTCTGGAATCACCATCATGACCCCGTCCGCCTGTTGATGTCTCCACTCGATGCGTCTATCCGCTCAGCTACCCCCCTGACCACCCTATTACCGCTCACATAGACCGCCCAAGTGAGCCCATACTCTATGAGACCCCACCACTCCCAGGTGCTCTCGTACAACAGCTAGAATGCCACAGATTACTCCCAGCCGATCACTCTCAAGCGAACTATTATAAAATCCCGTTAGGTCTCTCATATCTTCCCCACACATACCGCCCAGAATCACCCGTCTAAATCGGTGACAGATCCCCACGTCCCCCTTCTCTCTCGTTAACATACCCCAAATCTACCCTTCTAAACTTTCTCTATACCCATGAATCCCTCAACCTTCTTGTCAGTCCATACCCTCAACCTCTTGAGCATCCGATACGCCTCCACAGCTCTCCCTGGCACGCTCATCAGCTTCATCAACCCAATTCTATTCGTCATATATTAACACAATGCAGTGAGATCTGTACTAACGCACGCTTAGTAGTCAGCAACATAACCTCACTCGATCATTCGTGTCTGTTGCGTGACCCCACTTTCTATATCTCCAGACGCACTCCTCCGTCCACTTACGGTACAGGTAATAAATCCCCACATTGCCTAACCGACACCTCACAACCTCCTCCATCCTATGTCTCAACTCTTCAATATCACCATCCCCACTCCCCCTCACCCCTTCACTTCAAACTCCGACCCCAGGCTTTCTAACCCAACAACTCCTTACGCCCCACGCCACACACCTTAGTCCTCAACCCTAAGTTCAACCCCATAGCCTGATATCAACCCTACTTCACAACCTTTCAGACCACACACTCAACTCTTACCCCACCCCCACCCACATCCCTACTCAGAACACACCTCAAACCTAACACCACCCCTTACCCCACACTTCAACCCCACCAAACCTTGTCTCAACCCTAAACCAAACCCCACTCCACACCCCTACCCCAACCCCACCCCACACCTCGCCCGACCCCCACTCCACACCACCCCCCCTACTCCTCCCACGCCCACCCCACACCTCGACCCCGACCACCTCCCCCGGGAGCCCCAGCGCCAGCCCGACACGTCACCATGATAAAAGACGGACAACAGCAAAGACATCGACCTCATACGAACCCCGCTACAGTAGCCCTTTCCCCTCCCCCCCCTCCTTTCCCCCTCTTTTCCCCTCGGGTGTCGGGTTCTCCTCTCTTCTCGAAGTCGGAGGTTGCGTGTTCACCCGACGAGGAACACCATCCGACTCTGAGGAGGTGGGGGGAGGATGGTAAGGGGGGGGTCATGTGGCGACGCGTTCTTCATTAACTTTTCCAAGAAGAACAGCCCGGTGACGTAAGTTCTCACGGAGGGGGGGGGGGTCAAGAAGGAGGGGATGGGGGTGGGGGGTAGGAAGGAGGGGGGTTGGCGGGTAGGAAGGAGGGGGTTGGGGTTAGGGGTAGGAAGGAGGAAGTTGGGGGTGTTAGGAAGGGGGGGGTTGGGGGGTAGGAAGGAGGGAGTTGGGGGTTAGGAAGGAGGGGGAGTTCGGCGAGGTTAGGAAGGAGGGGGTTGTTTTATTTCTAATGTCGGGGAGAGCGAGAGTATCAAGAAGATCTTTGATTTTTTTTTCTCTTTTTTTGTTCTTTTTTTTGGCGGCGTCTGACAACTCTGTTATGTTGGAGCATTTGTATGCGGAGCAATCTTCCTCCTGCACATCATGGTGTCTGAGTATTCATCCGCATGTTTAAAGACACACATGTGCACCCGCAGGCATACATATGAATGTTTTTTTTTTTTATTCGTACACTAACTTTCGTGAATTCATGTGCGCACTAAGACTGATACGTACATAGTTCTCACACACACACACACACAGACAGATACACATACACACTCACACACTCATACACACGTACACACATACACGCACAACAAACACACACACAAATATCTCCCACAAACTCACACATGCCCAAAAAAGCCACCACGCATTTCATATTTGCGCATAGTCATTCGAGAGTATTTTAAAGCCCTTTTTCAAGTCTTTACTATACAGAAATTTCACATTCCAGTGCATTTCGCTGATGTTGCGTCACGTTGCATGTTGCTCCTCGGATGACAGCATCATTTTCGAAAGTCTTTTCAACCCTTTCGCCGTGTCGTTAACTTTAATGACATTCTAATTATTGTTTCTCGGTCTTCTTTAACGAGGATCTTGTACATCAACACAGAGAAATGACAACAACATTTATCGTAACAACAACAATAACAAAAAACATTGACAAAACACAAAACAACAACAACAGACAACAACACAGGTAGTCTTCGAACAAAATCCCCTAGATAAAAAAAAAAATACAAACATCCAAACACCACTAAACAACAACAACAACAGCAACAATAAAAATAATGATAATGATAACAGCAACACTCCCATCACCACCAACGACAACAAAATCAACAAAAAGCAACAAAACACAAGACTCCACCACCACCACCACTAACAACAACAACAAAAGCAAGCAGCGGGCCAAGCGCCTCCTCACCTGCTCGACGGAAAAGCACCCCAAGCACAAACAGCTGATGCGCCACCTGTCTGTCACTCGCACGGCGGAGAGAGGGAGAGATACTAACACCTGCGAGGCTAACTGCGTAAGGAGAGCGAGAGAAAGAATCTAATAAGGAGATAAACTGACGTCATTTGACACAGTTCAAAGGCATGTAAACGAGATGAGAGGGGAGAGAGAGAGAGAGAGAGAGAGAGAGAGAGAGAGAGAGAGAGAGAAGAGAGAGAGAGAGAGAGAGAGAGAGAGAGAGAGAGAGAGAGAGAGAGAGAGAGAGAGAGAGAGAGAGAGAGAGAGAGGGAGGGAGGGGGGGGATAAATGAAGTGAGGGTGAGGGAAAGACAGATAGATAAATAAATAGATAGAGAGAGGAGAGATAGAGAGAGAGACGAAGCGACGGAAAAGAGAATGGGAGAGAAAAAAAAAACAGACAGAGAAACAAACAAAGAAAAGAAAAGAAAATAGAAAGAATACCCGAAAAATACCCCGAAGCGAATACCGACGAAGCGAATACCCGACGAAGGTAATACCCGAAGGAGCGAAGGACGCAGCGCCACCAGGACACGAGTTCGGGACGAAGGACGGAATCCGACGTCTGTCCAAAGAGTGAATAAAAAAAAGGATATTGGATGGTTGCTTAGTGCTTTCCTTCGAGCCGTGCATTACTGTAATGAGTTTGAAATTGAATAAGAGAAACTTTCCATCCCCCCCCCCGCATTCTCCCTAACACCCCCCTCCCCCTTAAAAAGTGATTTTTCTCTCCCCTTCCTCCTCCTCCCCCTCTCCTTTCCCTCCCCTTAAAAGTGTTTTTCTCTCCCCTTCCTCCTCCTTAAAAGGGATTCTCCCTTGCACACACACACACACACACCATACACACACACACACACACACACACACAACACACACACATATATATATATATATAATATATATATATATATTATATATATATTAGAGAGAGAGAGAGAGAGAGAGAGAGAGAGAGAGAGAGAGAGAGAGAGAGAGAGAGAGAGAGAGAGAGAGAGCGAGAGAGAGAGAGAGAGAGAGAGAGAGAGAGAGAGAGAGAGAGAGAGAGAGAGAGAGAGAGGAGAGAAGAGAGAGAGAGAGAGAGAGAGAGAGAGAGAGAGAGAGAGACGAAAATACTAACGCCAATCAAAAAAGCATCCCTATTTTATATTGCCTTATAAATTACCTTACGTTATTCTACTCGTAATTAGTAACTACCAAAATCAGGTAATGAGTATCAGATAGGCTTTCGAATTTCAATAATGGTCAAAATACTTTTCTAAACAATTAATACATAACCTGATCATTAATAATTAATGTTATATTTATTATATCTAAATCATCACCAATCATCATTTACATCACGATAACCTGATCATTAATAATTAATGTTATATTTAGTTATATCTAAATCATTTACATCACGATAATTTTCTTAAAGGTCCTAGAAAAAGAGATCCGCTTTAACAAATAGACAAATAATAAAATCATAGAATTAACGAAAGAAGGCAAGAAAGAAAAATACAATAATAACTGAAACCCTAACATCCAGGAATTAAAAACAAATATCCTGCGACTCACGTAAACTAACACGGGACAGAGTTTTCAACAGAAGCTTACAAACACACAGACACAGACCGCGCGCACACACACACACACACACACACACCACACACAACACACACACACACACACACACACACACACACGCATAGACGGCCAAACAAACACACTCAGAGCAAGGAAGAGGCCGCGTGGATGCATCATCATCTCCCAGCACGTTCTCAGCATCCCAGAGCATAAGATCCAACTCTCTCATTTGTACAGAGAGGAGGGGAGGAGGAGGAGGAGGAGGAGGAGGAGGAGGAGGAGGAGGAGGAGGAGAGAGGAGGAGGGAGGAGGAGGAGGAGGAGGAGGAGGAGGAGAGGAGGAGGAGGAGAGGAGGAAGAAGAGAAAAGAAGAGGAAGAAGACGAGGAAGAGTGGGTGGACGAAAAGAAAAGGGAAGTGGGTGGGTGAGAGAGAGAAGAGAGGGGAGAGAGAGAGAGAGAGAGAGAGAGAGAGAGAGAGAGAGAGAGAGAGAGAGAGAGAGAGAGATGAGAGAGAGAGAGAGAGAGAGAGAGAGGAGGCAAAGATACAGAAGCAGTGTTGTCAAACCCTCCAATTGGGGACGGAATATCGGAGCAGCGTTGCCATGTACGAGGAGGCCTTGTAGGGTCAGGGAGGGAGAGGCAGGGGGATGGAGGGGGGGTCCAATTCACTTTTTTTCTTTCAACGAAAAGTTTTGCGTAAATACCATTGTTTATCCCATACAAGGTTCTTTCTATACGCTGGAATAAATACAACACAGCCAGACACTGCAGTTTATAAAGAAAATAAATAAATGAATAAATAAAAATACACCCCAGCCAGCGTTAGCAATTACAAATGGAGGCGACACCGTAGCAGTGTTGCCATGCCCCCTGCGAGGTGCCACCTACATAAAAATCGTCAGTGAGAAGGGCGCCACTGCCATCAGCGTTGCCATAACTTGAGGCAAGGAGGACACCATAAACAGTGTTGCCATCACAGGAGGTCTCGAGTGGGCCTAAACATAAAGAATTGTGACAGGACGCTGAACAATGTTACCACAACAACCACCTTCTAAAAGCGGCCATGACAACGCCCTCTGCTTACTAAATAATGACACAAATTAATTGCATTGTTAATGTTTAATTAAGCAGAAAAGAAAACAGAGGCATCTGCACGCGGGGCTTCCCTCTTCGCTAAAAGGAAATGCATAAACGTCTTGCTTATTTTGCTACTACGAAATTTGTCGCGCCACGAAATTACTTTTGAAATAATAACATATGCATAAAAATCATATGTAAATAAATATACATATTTCTACAAATAAAATATGAATATATATTATATTATATATATATATGATATATATGTATAATATATACATATATATATACCATCTACTATACGCAATATATAAATGTATATGTGCACGCGCGCGCGTGTGCGGTTGTGTTGCTTTATATATATTGGTGTAATACATTTCACATTATACACTCATAATATTATATAATGAAAATTGTAATACAGACACACACACACAAACACAAGCACCACACACACAAGATATATATATACATAAACATATATACATAATAACATACATATAAATATAAAAATACATATACATACATATTATACATACATACATACATACATACTACATATATATAATATATATAATATATATATATATATATATACTATATATATATATATATATATAAATATATATTAATATATATACACATATAATATATATACATTGTAATGCACACACAACACAACACACACATCACACACACACACACACACACACACACACACACACAGGCTACACACACACACACAAAGTTTCACACACACACACACACACACACAGCTACACAACAAAAGGCGCCCACACACATTATAATATATATAATATATATATATATATAATATATATAATATATATACATACACACAT